TATATATATATATATATATATATATATATACATATCTTCATTCTTTTTTTTTTTTTTTTTTTTTTTTGTCTTTTTCCTTTTTATCGGTACCAGGGATTGAATTCACGACTGCCTGCTTGCAAGGCAGGTGCTTATGCCGCTGAGCTAAATCCCCAGCCCCATATATCTTCATTCTTTACTGCATTACTCCATCCCACTTTTTATTTCCTTTTGAAATTTCTTCCCATTGTACACATTTTCGACTTTATTTAATATTTCAGCTTCTCCCACTAGAGAGGAAATATGATGGTCACACATATGCATCTGGCTTGTTTCACTTATGAGTATGGTTATGCGTTGCATCTATTTACCTATAAATGTCTCCAGTTTATCTTTCTTTATGGAAGAGTAGTATATCATTGTAAAAAGAAGATCACATATTTTTTAATCCATTCCTCAGTTCATGGGCATTTGGGTTGTTTCCAAGTTCTATCAATTACAAATTGTTATGCCATAAACATGAGTCACATATATTTTTGTGGTGTGTTTAATTCTGTTTGGAAAATACTTAGAAGTGGAAAACTGAGTTGAATGGGACTTCTAATTCTAGTTTTCTAAATTATTTTTTAAAAAGCAAAACAAAGAAAAGGATAGAAATAATACAGAATTTCAAAAAAATAACAGAAATTAACACTAGTTAATATACTACACATTACTATCTTAGAAGTAGTTGATCATTACAAAATCAAAGCATAAAAATGAACAGACAAGCAATGAGAGCACACAGTATTATTTTTGATGAAATAACAAATAATTTTTTTTAGGATTCTCCACACTGATTTCGATAGCCTACGAGCCAGTATACACTCCCACCAACAGTGGAGAATGATTCCACTTTTTTTCCACAGCCTCTCAGTTTTCCTTATTGGTATTGGTTGATTTCTGACTAATAGTCATTGTTTCTGGGGTGACTTGGAATTTCACTGTTGTTTAAATTTATATCCTTGAATAACAAATGATATTGAACAGTTTTTATTCTAGATTTCTCCTTCTGAGAAGTGAGTATTCATCTCATATGCTGTTTTTTTTTGGATTTTTTTTTTTAATTTGAGTGGTCTGACATTTTAGAGACATTTATATGTTTGTCATAGAAATCCTTTGTCTGAAGAACGGCTGGGAAATATTTGTTTCCACATTGTAGGTTGTCACTTGAGTCTGTTAGTGGTTCCTTTTGCTGTGCAAAAGTTTTACAATTCGATGAGATCTCAGTTGTTGCTTCTTTGTTTTAATTCCTGTGCAATCAGAATTTTATTCCTAAAGTCTTTGCCTACACCAGTGTCTTCAAAATTTTTAATTGTTCTGTGTTCCGTAAGATTTGATGTTTTTGTCCTAATATTTAGATCTTTGATCAATTTTGAATTTAGTTTAGTTCATGGTGAAAGACATGTGTCCAATTTTAATCTTCAGCATGTGCAGAGCTGTATTTCCAGCAGCATTTATTAAAGAGGCTTTCTTCAGCGTATGTGTTTAGCATTTTTTTCAAAGATAAGGTGTCTTACTATGTCATGAGTATCTGCATCTTCTGTCCACTTCCATTGATCTTCGGGTCTGTTTTACTTTTATCACAGTAGCTTCATAGCATAATTTCAGATGATAGATTTCAATACTACTTGCCTTGTCTTGTTGCCCAGAATTTTCTTTGCTATTCCAGGTCGCTTCTGGTTGCAAATGAAATTTAGGATTGTTTCCTCTATTTTTGTGCGGTATAATGTAATTTTCATTGAAATTTCGTTAAATCCATTAAACAGTTTTGTAAGTATGACCATTTGCACTGTATTGGTTTTTCCTGTGAAAGATCATGGAATATTTTTCCATGTTCTGGTAACCTCTTCAATCTTCTTTTCACAGCACTGCGGTTTTCAAAGTAGAGATCATTTACATCCTTTTTAAGATTGATTACTAGATACTTCATTTTTTTGGTTGTCATTGTGGAAGGTGTTGGTTTCCTAATTTCTCTCTCTCAGTGAGTTTGTAATTCTTGTACAGGAAAGCTATTGATTTTTTCAGTGTTGACTTTGTAGCCAGTTAAGCCACTGAATTTGCTTAAATGTAACAATACGTTAGTGGAATTTTGGGGTAGCTTTCCTTTTAGGAATTTATTTGGGGATAATCCTTTACTTTCAACTTCTTTAAAAAGTTTCATAAATAGTAGTATTGAATCTTCTCCAAAATTCTTGTAGAATTCAGCAATTAATTCATCCAGACTTATCCTTTTCATTGTTAATTTGGTTTCTAATTAGATCTTCAATTTCACTGACTGATATTCTTTTCTTTAGGATTTTTATAACTTCTTCATTCACTATTGGTATTTTCATATTGATTTAAGGATCTGCCAATATCATCTGAATTTTCCATCTTATTAGAATATACAATATCAAATAGGTATAGATGATCTTCTGGATTTCTTCAGGGTCTGTTGCTTTTTCACCCTTTTGCTTATTTATTGTATGGATTTAGGTCATTTTTTCCTATTTTTGATAAAGATGGATAAGGTTTTATCAATTTTATTTAATCATTAAAAGAATTATCCCTTCAATTCATGGATTCTTTGTATTGTTTTTTTTTTAATTTCCAGTGCATTAATTTCTGCTCGGATCCTAATAAGTCCCTTCCTTCTACAATCTTTTGGTGTAGCATGCTTCTCTCTTTCTAGATGTTTGAGATTCATCATTAAATTGTTTATTTGTGTTTGCTTTATATTCCTGATATAGGTATTCAGTGCTACAATATTTCCTCTTAGGAATGCCTTCATTGTGTCCTATATATTCTGGTATGTTGCATTATTGGTATTGACTAATCGTATTAACTGTCTATTTTCTTCTTTAATTTCATCTGTGAAATTAAATTCATTGTTCAGGAGAGTTGTATTTAATTTCCATGTATCTATGAAGATCTTGTGGTTTCCTTGCCCATTGATTTCCAATTTCATTGCACTATGGTCTGATAATATGCATGGAAGAATTTCAATTTCTTTGCATAAAGTAAGCACGTTCTATGAGCTAGTACATGGTTTATTTTCTAGAAAGTCCAATGTGCAGCTAAGGAGAATGTGTTTTGTGATGTTGTGGAATGGAACATTTTAGCAGTACCTAGATGGTAACTCTCAAACAGGCTCTTTCTATGCTGCTTAACACTCCACCATCTTCAATCAATGTGTCTTAGAAAGAATGTAAGTGACCTTCACTCTCAAAGCAGGATCAAATATTTTTTATTTGCGTTTGGGCCTTGGCTGTCAGGAGCCTCAGCAGGAAAAATGAATCCCGTAGTGTGTGCTCCACAGCCTGAAGACTGGTATGAATCATGAGGGTCAGAATAAGGGCAGCAGTCTGAGGACAGAGGCTATCAACTCAAATGCCCAGCTGTGAGTGAGGGGCATAGCCCTTGCCCCTGATTCACTTTTTACCTCTTACTAAACTAGCAAATCTGACTTTTCATCTGCTTTTGTAGTGAATTGTACTACTTCTATTAGAAAAATCAGATGAAATTTTTTACATATCCTAGAATTTTGTGGGTCTTTTGGACCTTCTGTGTTGCTCGAGTGAACAGATGCAATACAAAGTTACATAGAGAATTTTGATACTTTTGCACACATGTTCACACCTTGCTTTTCATCATACAAAGTATATAAACACAGACAGCTTCCTGTATTGATCAGAGAAAGGTAGTAAGATGCACCACCAGTTACTATTATGCTAAAATACAAATTTATGGTACAAAAATGAGGGATGTTTCTTACAATACTCTTTGATCTGAATTCAGTATAGTTCCTTATTCCTTCCTTTTACAATGAGAAATTTTTTTCAATTGCTAATTTATGTTGGAAGAATTTCACTTTCTTTTTGATACTTATAAGGGTAAGTATCAAAGTACTTATACAACTGAGAGTCTGCCTTTTTGAGTATCAGAAAACCTGAGCATTTAAAATCCCGAAGCACCATGACCAGTATCCAGGGCAAGTCGTGGCAACACGTGAATGACATGGCTTTACAGCTCCATCACTATGGCCTAGCCAGTGTAGCCACCATGGCTTCTCTCTTGGGATGGCTCAGCTCATTACTCATGACTATCCATGTCACATGTTCTAAGTTCTTGACATCTTCAACTTCTGGGTGTGTAAACTGAACTTTTGTCCAAGGTTCATACCTTGCCCTCCTGTGGTCTCTTGGAAGAAAATGTGATCATGCCGTAAGATGTCTGCCCTCTCAGGACTTCTTCTAAAACCTGTATAAAATCTTCCATGATTCTATAACTGTTGCATTCTGAATGACTGAAAAACCATTTCCAAATAAGTGATATCAAGATCAGTTTCCAGTTTAAGCAGGAGCCAGGCTGTTCTTGAGCATTATGGCAATAGCCTCTGACTGCTTGGATAGCGGAACTTAGGTATGCACTTCTCTAGATGGCTCTGATTGAACCAGTATTTCAAGGAATCTCTTCTCAAAGATTTCCGTAGTGGACCTTTATCCCTGTGCTTGTTGGTGTCTGCTGACTTCTGATATTCCCTCAAGACATCTTTTCGTCTTGCCCTTGTAGGAAGTACTTTACTTCTGTTAGTTCTAGTCATGGCAGCAAACCCATAATCCTATATCCCAACATTACTGGTATTTTCTTTCTGACAAATCTCCAAACTTCGTATTATAAAGCTCTACTATTTTCTCCTGTTGAATTGGATGAAAGCAGGCAGTATTAACCATGTCATAGTCCGAACTTTGGGTTTCCTTGAGGTTTCCTCTGCTAAATTGATCATTCCACTACTCTCAGTTTCATCCACTTGGGTCTTTTGTACTTTTAAAAATTTATAGACAATAGAAGTTCAAAGTCTTTATTTTTAAGACTACCAATAGATCATCTACGGATACACTGAAAATGTCCACTCCCTCACTAAATGTTAAGCTTTTCCCCATTACTGAGCTTTGTCACATTGGTACTATCCAGAAACTAAGTGAAAATGTATGGAGTACATGTGTAGGACAGTTGCTCAAAGGGAGGTCACTAGTTTTGTGCCCCTTGATACAATGATCCTAGATTCCTATTTGGTGTTTTGTCAACAGAGAAGCCATTTTTCAGGTAACTTGCTCTGAGCACACTCTAATTCCATTCATTTGTAAAATCTCAGGATGTAACTAAAATTTTCTACCATCATGCAAAACATATGGCTTTTTTTTTTTTTTTTTTTATCTAACTGCCAGTAAAGGCCTTGTTTCCAACTGAAACCTCCTTAGCCTGGCTTTACCTATTAACATTCCTGCTACCATTTGATCTGATCTCTGACCAGTCTTGCATATCAAGTGCTTCACACAACACTTCAAGACTTCTCTAGCTTGCATGACTAAACCTTTCCAAATTATTATAGATTAGTTCCAAAGGTTTTTGAAAGACATGCACACATAACAATGTTCCAATAAATCCATTCTTGATACCAAACTTCTGCATTAAACAATTTCTTGTTGCTGCAAAAGGAAGAGAATTATTCTGGCTCACATTTTCATGAGAAATTGTATGGCAGAAAAACATGAAAGGAGAAAACTGTTGATGCCAAAGTGACTAAGAAGTGGAGAGAAAGAAGAGAAACCAAGGACCAAAATCTAATCTTCCAAGCAAGCCCCCAGTGATATATTCCTTCTCAACAGTCCCCAGTCCTGAACACATGAGTTTTTTGGAGGAATATTTTACATCTAAACTGTTGTGATTATGACAGTTATGCATTTCTAGTGGATTACATCTTTATTGATATACATTAGACATTTTATTTACTCTGAAATTTGTTAATCAGATATTAGTATAGAATTTCATTTCATGTTTAAATTCGGTATTGCAAACTTCATCCTGTTAATTTCAAACTTATCACTGAATCTGAAGCCATTTTCTTGAAATAATATACAGTCTAGTAATGTTTTATTATTTTCCTTAGCTTAGCATATATCTCCTTGTGAATTAGTGTTTTTAGATGATTTCAATTTAAGACAACTATTAATGAATATGTGAAGACATATGTCTATCATTTTTTATTTTTATCCTAGTTCCCTTCCTACTTCTATCTCTCCATCTCCTTGTGTGTGCAAAATATTTCTGTCTTTGTTATTATGTATTTCTTATTTTGTACTTCAGTTTATTTATATTTTAGTTATATCCAATAAACAAATCATGAAATATTTAAGCTTGTGGGTCTGACATATTCCATTTAATATTATGTCTTCAAGATCCAACTAATTTCCTAAAAATGAATTATATGTTTCATTATTTATAACAGACAAATATCTCACTGTGTTTAAATATCACATTTTCTTTATGTACACATGATTAGCAATCATATCCTTCAGAAATTGAAAGGTGAAAAGGAGGGAAGGGAGAGGAAAAATGTTATATATCTATACGTACTCACTACAATTAAGGGGTTATACATCTAGTTTCTCTTAGTTCACTGAAAAGAAACGTTTGTGCTAATAGTTTAGCCAATATTTAATGCTTATATGGTTTACTCTGAAAAATTACGATGAAGATAATAATATACAATGCATTAATCATTGTTACTCTCTGTCATTCTGTTTTGAAACTTTCTTTTATTGGATTTCATTTATGTACCTTGAAAATGTATTATTTGGATTACTTATGTGGGCTTCTTTCAGCATCTAAAATCTGTATGTCTCTCACCAAACTTAGCCAATATTTTATATTATTTTTCCCAGTGTGTTTTTGGTTTGTTTTTCATCTCTGTTTATTCTAATTTATCTGGTTCTGTTTTGTCTTTCTGCTGGTATATATTGAAAAGATAGAATTATTTTTCCCTATGTATTAACTCTAGGTAAGAGAAGACATTCTGCATCCCATTAAGACAAAACTTCCATCTAGAGCAAGGCGGCAATTTCTGTCTTACAGTGATGCTTGACTGTTCAATTTGTCTAGCTAAGTGAACAGATTCATTGTCCTTGTATAAAAATAATGTGATCACTCTATCAATGTTATCAGCTACGAGGCCACTTAGTATTTCTATGAGGAATAGAAAATTCTCTACAGTGATGAAGAATACATTTTGGTCCAGATATTTGTTGGTTAGGAAAACCTGGCAGATCATCTCTAATTGAAGAAATGCCTCAATCCATGGGAACAAGGAAAACATCTCAGTCTGGTGACTTATGAAGGCATCTTCCTTTCTTGAAACACCTGCCTTTCTCCTCCTTGTGTCTCCAGATAGAAGAGTAGAGCCTCAAAATTATTAGTCATCATGAGTTCCTAGGCTGGGGCTACTTGTGTCAGAGTATCTTTAGTCAATGTGAATTGTCGGTGATAATAATAGAATTTCATATTTGGCAGGGAATACTATTTCCCCTGACAATTTGTTGTAAATTGACTAGTGTTTGAGTATCCTGCCAATGTCTCAAGTTGTCTAGTATAGTTTGTATAAGTGCTATTATGCTTTAAGTAATTATCTTAACCTGGAAGTTAAGGTGAAGTGTGAACTTTGTTGGCTTTGCGATTTGCCTGAGAGTTTGGTGGGGTCTGTGTTTCTCTGGATAAATCGTGGAGGTATGGTCTAGAGTTTAGGTCTCGTCCCTCAGCCCTTCTGCTTTGACAGTGTTTCCCTGATGGACTTTATTTTGTAATCAACATGGACTAAGCATCTTTGCTTGCTGTGTCCTCCCAATTATGATATTTCTGCCTTGGATCATACTGACAATGAACTGAATCCCATGGATTCATGAGCCAAATTAAATACGTTCTCCTTTGGGTATATGTTTTGGGTACTGTATCTCAGCAATCAGACTCTGAATACAGAAAATTAGTATCAGACAAAAGAAGTTATTGATGCGACCTTATTTAACCATGTGATACATAAGTATTTGAACTTATTTATAAGAAAATTTTGGAAAGTTTTGAAGGTGTGGTAAGAGAGATTCCCTACAATGTTATAAGCAGTAACTGTAGTTGATGATTCTGGTCAGAACTCAGAGGATCAGAATGCTGACAGAAATGTGGACGGTAAAGGTGAGGTTCATGAGACTGGTTAGAAAAAAGGTCTGTATTTGGAAATGGACCAGAGGTCATATATCATCTCTTCTGGAAAAAAATAGTATTTACCCTTTTACAAAATTTTGTGGGAAATTATAAATAAGAGAGGTGGACTGATTTGGTTTAGGAAATTTAAAGGCAGGTAAAAATTCAGTTTATCACACAGGTCATACTGCCTGCGTACTGCCAGACTTACAGTGAGAATCTGGGGAACAATAGCAAAACTCTTTGGAAAATTTAAGATTTTGCTGAAAAGGAATTTTCTGTAAAATTGAAACCAAGAAGGATGGGTAATGATGAGACTAATACAAATAAAATCTGTTCATGCATGTTTTCTTCTTCGATGAAATACATATCTGTCCATTTTAATAAAAAGACTTACTTTTCTACACAAAGCATATGATATTTATGTTTTTTGAAATCTTCCTTTGTTTAATAATGTAACTCTGAAATCACTGATCAGATTTATATATTTTACATATATGATATTTGGAAACATTTTCTATTATAAAAAGTTAAATAATAATTAAATTCTGTTTGTTTTCTCATGCTTGCTCTGTTTTATTTAATTTTAAATGTATATCTGTAAATTTTAAGTTAAGTCTTGTGTATGTTTTAAGATGCAGACTCATTCATTGATGAACCATTCACTAAAAAGTTCATTTTGATTGAATAATTTGGTTGTAGTGGTTCATTCAGAAGATCTGGTAGCTTATAACTTGACAATCAATGAAGTGGTTCAGAACAAAGTACAGTAATGTGAAGAACAGACTTCCTGATTTAGAGTGAAGTGCTGCAAATGGGAGTAAGGTTTTGAAGTTTTCTCTGGAATTGAGGTGCAATTAACTCTACAAACAGGCCCACAGAGATGAACATGAGAGGATTTCGTTTCAGAAAGTGACACAGGCAAGATGAGGAAAAGTGAGTTTTATTAACAGAAATGTTTTAAAGCTTCCATGAAAAAAATAATACAGAGGTTCAATAACTAATTTTTTTCATGCAATATGGGTGTCACTGTAGTCTTTTTGAGGTAGAGGGCACAGAAGACAGCAAAAAATATAGTGTAATATTGGTTCATGAATTGACAGTTTGGGATTTTATTTCATGGACTTACATTTTATGGCAGTTTATGATCATAATAATCATGTAGCTAATGTTCTGTAATTCAATTATGGTACTGTTGTGAACATTAACGATAACGTAGCAAATCTGAAGAGCACTGGGACAAATGGGTAATATACATATTTCAGTTAGTTACAACCCGTTACATAATTACTTAAAATAAGTTGTCATTTGTACAAAAAAGCTATGTTGGCACTGAATCACAACAATTAATTTTGTTACAATGCATCCCTTTGAAGATGGTAGCAGGCATTGAAGAAAATTTATGGAACAAATGAGGATATATACTTTGTGAGCAATCACTATGTTTCAAAATTATTAGTGTTTACAAAATTTTAGGGTAAAATAATATTTTTATAGTTGCATCTCTATTGCAGTGTATATTAGCCCTATAATTTACTCAGTATTTACTTATTGTTGGCTTTGATGAGACTTTCTTAATTTTAATATGTGATTACCATGCTAAACCTGGAAGTTACAATTTGTCTTTAATTCATATTAACTTTTACCTGGTGAAAGTTATGCTCATTTCATGTGCTTTTGTGAGGAAATAATTAGCTGTTTAAATGATCCTATTTTTACTAAAATTTTAATTTTTTAATAAGATAATTGGGAATCCTTAGACGCTAATCATTTTGTTCTGAAAAATAATGTGATAAATTTATAAAATATTAAGGCTTGAATATGTTAACTAAAATACACATTTTGCATTTTAATTATATTCCTGTAGTGAACTTTCAGATAACAGTGCTGCATTTTAACTTTCTTTTTTATAGATATTTATTGGAGAATTATTATGAGCTTGTATTGACCATTATATTCTCTGATTTTTGGAATGTGCTTTTGTAAAATTTACTATTAGGGATATGTATATGTGTAATTGCATGCGTATATTTAAATATATTGAATTATTCTAAAAGTGTATTAGATTTTTATTCTGAAAAGTATAAAGTGAAAGGTG